AGAGTAACATGAAGTGAGATGTCTCACCAGACGGCCCTTCTTGCTAAGGCGAAGCGAGAAGAGGTGCTTATTTTGAATGACGCTGCGTCGTAGCGCAAGCTACTTATAGGGTGGGTGGATTCCCTGACGTAGACGTCAAGATCACCAGCCAATCAGGATTGGCGTAATGAGATTGATGCTTCTGTTTGCATACGCGTTGAGGCGCATCCCATAGTGAGACATCTCACTTCATGTTACTCTGAGAACTGGGGTTCTAAAGTAACCTATAGATTTTATAGTTTAGGCCAACAATCACTTTTGGCAGAGTTGGTCTGCTTTATAATTGTAAGCGTTTTGTCAGTATATTTGAAATGACTAGGTTAGCTATAATAGCTATCTAGCTTACAGTAGATCTACAATAATATCTGAAGGAATCATACGTTCACATTGTTAAAAATAATCCAATACAATTTATATTTTAGGTATATTTTATAATATAACAATTTATAATCCATTTTCTGAACTTCAACAAGCGCTCCGGTCCCAGCTGTGTGCATCACTTTTTGGTGTCCCTGTTTCTGTTGTGTTTTGAGCTTTTTGCAGCTTTTTTTTATTTGCTGCATTTTGCTTATGAAGTACTTTTAATCAATGCTGCGCATGTTTTGTCAAGTTGGTTAATGTTTTATAAATTATGTGCTTGTGCTCTTAAGTTGGTAAAGATGTGTCCTCATTTGCATTTGTTTTGGCAAATGTGTTTTTTTATTTTCATTGTTTTTGAAAATGCAGCGTGTTTCTCCTAATGGAAGTGCTTTGGGCCGTTTTAACTCGTTTTACCTGTTGGCCTGCCATGCTCAAGGGGCTTTGACAGGCGCTTAATCTAGAGTTAGTTGCCACGTTTGCAGCAAAGTGTCTGAGTTTACAGTCCTTTATACTTAACACTGTGGCACTCAAGCCCATTGGTTCCTACTGAATTTTTTTTCTCCAAATGATTCACAAATATATAGTTTTATTTTAACTGTAATTTAAACAATAATCAAACAGCAAATACTGCACTTGTTTCCTTGACTTCACTTGTACTGTGTTGAGCGGATGATTTTATCCACATCTGGTGCTCTAGTATTTGTGGCAGCAAGACTGTTAACTGGGATTGAGACAAAATACTGAACCTCTTTGTATGTGTAAGGCAATGAAGGACATGTGACCCAGTTTAGCAGTGTAGCTTATCCGTGTTTTTTAAAATAGTTTTTGGACAATAGCAAAGCTCCAAGGCAGAGGCAGAAGATGTATCATGTGTTAGTGGATAATTGAATTGCTGTTTTGAGTCTCTTTTTAACAGGATTTGTTGACAATAAGGAAAATATCAGCAGACCAGATTTAGTGAAGGGATGCTTTTAATATTACACAATAAGTCCAGAGGATGTTTCAGGGACACAAACTACCAACATCTTGGACTAAAGTCTCAAAGATGGACACTCAGCCTTCATTGACAAAAAGGAAGCTCTATGGCATAACTATAATAATAATAATACATCTAAAAAATAATTATTGAAGAATGTCCTCTCCTGCAGCTGTATAACAGGACCACAGGGTACGGCTGCTGCCTGTGTGTGTGTGGCTGGATATGAAGGCAATGGAACTCACTGCAAAGGTAAAGACACACACACACACACACACACACACACACACACACACACACACACACACACACACACACACACACACACACACACACTTGACAAATATCTAATGTACTTACTTACTTTTACTCTGTGTCTCTCAGAGCTGGAATTGTGCAGCAGGTCTAACGGTGGTTGTTCAGAGTTTGCCAGTTGCAAGAAGGCCTCTGCAGGAGAGAGGACTTGTTCCTGTAAAGAGGGTTACACCGGAGACGGGGTCATCTGCCTGGGTATGTAGTCCGGATCGGTATGTAGGCCTGCATGATTAAGGCCAAAATTGTTGATAATTATAAAGTGGTGCAGTGATGAAGTATACTAAAAGCAATGGCATTTCCCCATTGGATTTCAGAATATTGCAGAAAATAAGCTCTGTGGCAAACATATGTTAATGATATTTACACGTTTTCTTTAGCAGGATAATCTCCACATATTAAGACCACCTTATGAATTTGATCCCCAGAAGCTAAAAGCTATTGTTAGGCTATGAATCTGTATCATGGTTGAATGGCTATGTATCACCACCACTTAGCTAAAGGACATTTAGTAGTTTATTTAGTCACTTGTTAGCAGATTTGATGACACATTGAAGCTTTGGACATTCATTCACAGATGGGGTATTTATTAACATATTTTGTCATAGAACAAAACATGAAAATCTCTTCAGCTTGTTTTAACCACAGACCTTATTTCAGTCATCTAACGAAAAACGTTAAAGGTTTTAGGACTCATTCCTGCACCACTCTATTGAGAATACGATTATTCATTGATTCAAGCAACCTTTGTTGTACATTCATATTTTAAATAAACAACAGCAATGCTTTCACTCATATGTTGTGCTCCATTTGTGCGAATGCTGTAATTAGGGCAGCAAGATTTTGGTCAAAAACTGACATTGCACTATAAATATACATTTGTGTTGCAATATATTCAAATATATAAAAAACACCCTAAATTTTATGGACTCTAGTTTTAAGTTGAATGTGTCAATTTAATGTACTTTACTCTTAGAGCAAAAGGAAAAGGCTAGATACACAACTTTGTCCTTACAATTATTTCCTTAACCTCTGACCTGAATTTCCTGACCTGGAAATGGAAATTAAATATTCCCATATATTGAGCCCCCAAAGGGTCACAGTGGGAATTGTTGTTTTTTAGCTACTTTTGTATTCCCTCCCAATAAAGCTTTTTCTATTTTTTAAATGTCATTTTAATATTAATTTCCAGCTTGTGTGTTCACAGAGATTGACGGCTGTCTGGTCAACAATGGAGGCTGCCACAAATCAGCAGAGTGCACCAGAACAGGACCCAACATTGTAAGACAACACTGTACTGCAGTAAAATGTCAGATTTTAAGGCAAGACACATAACGACCAAACATAAAGCCATCCATTTTGGGCAGTCATTTTTAGGGTGAAAGAAGAAAGATAATTTGTTTTGCTTTTGATTATACGTTTTTTCTGTCTTCTTTGTTTATCCAGACGGCCTGTAACTGCAAGATGGGCTTTCAAGGATCCGGGAAGTTCTGTTACCCTGTCAACCCCTGCAAAAATGTACGTCAGTGTCAGTGCTTATTCTTCTGCTTTATTCTGTCGTGTTTAAAGAGGACATATTATGCTTCTACTGTGACATGTCTCCATGCTTTAATGTTCAAAAAGGTCTTTATTTTCTCATTCTGCCTGTGCTGCAGCACCTCTTTTCACCCTCTGTTTGAAATCATCAAATGACAGCGTTGGATGCAGGAAAAACCTTGCAGCTACAAACTTCGCCCTCAATTCAAATAATTTACCATCGACCCTAATTGGATTTCCACATAAGAGGTTAAAACATTACCCTTTTAGCACAGATTACACAGCTTGGTATTTACATTAATTATTTAAATTTCCTCATAGTGAGTTGCAACCCATTTAATTATTAAGCAAAAATAAATGTATATTTATGTGTTACAGACAGTAATAATATAAAAATTATACTACCAGATAATATTCAGACTGTTTTCTAAAATAGGTTTGTGCACATCATAAATACTAAAACATGCAGGCCATTGTTCCAGAGGAACAGAGAAAGGTTTTTGTAAAGCTGATGTGATTGTGAACTTTATTTTGTTTTTTGAAAGTGCAACTTAAAGGTCTTATCATGCTTTTTGGTGTTTTGCCTTCCCTGTAGTGTGTTATAGGTTTCTCCCCCCCTGCCTGAAACACCTCAATTGGACTCCTTTGTTTACTTCCGTAACATAATGACATTACTACGTGACAATGATTGGCTAAGGGGCGGGGCAGCTCTAAGCGGTTGACTAATCACAACCGAGCCGCCCAGCTAACCAATCAGAGCAGACAAGGCTCTGGTTTCCGACAGAGGATGAGAAGAGCATTTTGAACATGAAGTGCCTCTTGGCAGACAAAAATAGAAACAATACAAGTCCCGATATACAAGTGCATATTACCAAACACAATTTAGAAGGCAAAATACATTGTACTACATGTCATAAAAGTGATCTGTGTTCTGTTTTATCATAGTTTGAGATGGGTCATAAAAGAAAAACTTGCTTCATGCATTAGCTTGTTAAGAGCCAGCAATGTGTTCAGATGTTTGTTGCCGATTCAGACTAATCAGAAATATCTTTGTTTTTATCTCAAATTGAAATTGTGTCAGGGCATTGAATGTTGTCCTGTATTATCAATTGATGACACATTTGTTGTGTGTGCAGAACAATGGTGGCTGCAGTAGGTATGCTCGCTGTGAGTATTTCGGTCAGGGCCAGAGGAACTGCTCCTGCCTCAGAAGCCACGTTGGCGATGGCTTCGACTGCCGGGGAACCACAAACACTGTGAGTCACATGACCTCTGACTTTCCCCTCACCTCTAACCTACCACTGCCTCGCCTTCCCACTCACAGGAAGTTGTGTCTTCTCTTTGTTACAGGAGCTGTCCCGACAATCAGAAAACGACTTCTTCCGCCGAATGTTATCAGTGAGTCATTTGATATCCACACAGTAGATAAGGCTTTGTCTCCAGTTATTCAATAGATGCTGTTAACTAAAAACAGCAGGACACAACAGTAGAGGAAATTCAATAAACTGTATTTTCATGCAGTAAGAGCATCCCTTTTATTAAGACATGAAAAAGGCCTCAGATCCGTCATCAAATGATTTCACTTTGTTTTCTTTTTGTTTCTCAGTTATCAGGTGTTCGTGGTCTTTATGGTGATGGACCATTCACTGTCTTCGCCCCCGCAGAGGAAACCAACCATGACTCCTCTGTGTGTACAACATCTGCTGTTTCCATATTATCAAATGTTACATAATAATATTACCAATTAGCTTCTTTATCCTTGGAAAACAATACAAATTGATGCACAATATAAATTGTTAATTACATTTATACTTATGTGTGTTATTATGGTTGCTGGTGCAAGTTATATATATCGTGTGTGTGTGTGTGTGTGTGTGTGTGTGTGTGTGTGTGTGTGTGTGTGTGTGTGTGTGTGTGTGTGTGTTTGAGGAATGGAACCAGTTTGGTCGACTTCCTGACCTGGTTCGTTACCATGTCGTTTCCTGTGAGACTTTGACCTTGAGTGACCTCAAAACGACTAAGCTAGCCGTCTCCACATCCGGATACACACTTCACTTCAGCCTGCAGGAGGTAAGACATATAAAAACACAGACACTTGACTCTTCTTAGTTTCTACCTGTCTGCCACGAGCTTGAAAACACAAGGTTTTAGGACTCAAATGCACCATTCCAGGAGACAGAGGTAAAGTATGAGAAAAATACTTTATTCCAACAATCAGGTCACAAAAAAGGATCTACACTCTTGACGAGGTGAAGAAGGAACAACAGGAATCACTCAAAATCACAAAATGAGTAACAAAACTTACTAGATAACTCAGGAGCATGAATCTGGCCTGAGACATGAGGAAAACCGCTAGTAGGCTGACTACTGGCACGGAGACAGGAGGAACTGGCACAAGACAAGGGAAGACTGGGGAATTTAAACAAGAGGTAACTGGCACAGGTGGAAACAATCAGGGGGCGGGGCTGATGAGAGCGGGAGACACACACAAGGATAGGGAGTCAATGGACCTGGAATGAAAAACAAAGGGTGAGCACCAAAATAAAACAGGAAGTGAGAGACAAGACAAAAATGACTTAACAAAACATGAAACATGACTAGGCTAACATTTTTGACGAGACACAACACACGCCTCCTCCTCTGTCTCCACACCTGTCTCTCTCTCCTGCAGGGTTCAGTGTGGGTGAACAACAGATCGAGGATCATAAAGAGTGACTACACCACATCGAATGGAGTCATTCACCACATCGACACCATGTTGACGCCCTACAAGCTGCAGGACAAACCCAGGATCCAGTATACCAAGGTGGACTGAGTTTAATTGAAAATAATAAATGATTGATTTATTATAATTGACTGTCAGGCAGTGTGACCTCTCTCTTTCTCTCTCTTTTTAGATGAACCTCACCACAGCTGCAGCGTTTTATGGCTACAGACGCTTTTACAAACTTGTGGAGGTAAAAAAAAAAGGAAGAATAAAAAACATCCTGCACTTTTTGATTTGATATCTCCTACACTGCATCCTCCTCACTCTGAAATCCGCCTCTTAATTTACCCTCACGTAACATACACATCCATCTCTATTCTGTTATTAAACCTACTTTGCTTCCTTCTTTTCTTTCTATCACTACTTATCTTACTACCTGCACAGCATTTTTATCATTTGTCCCGTGTCCTCAATTTGAGAGATTTGATTGACATTTTCCCTTTTTTTTTTTTCGTTCTCGCGTCGAGGTGAATACAATGTGGACCAGTGTTTGTTGGAAAATAAATCCATTCAAACCGAATATATTTAGGTCCTTTGTTTGCATAGTTTGTGCAAAAAAATCAACCTATATTGTTGTAAGTCATATTTATAATGGTTTCAATAAAAAGGTTCATTTTTCAGGGTTAGATGGATATTATATTGAAATCTAACGCACCTCATAGCATCGCAGTAGCATGTCCCACTTTGGCCAACACAAACATACTCTTTGTCCCACATGTAGCTTGCTGGCACCTGGTCACCTTAACTCCTCCTTTTAATACAGTTTTCACCTCTACATTTTTTTCCCACTAGTGTTCGTGCTGATGGTAATCTTTATGGTCCACTCTTTTTGCAGGATGCGGGGTTACTCCCTGTGCTCGAGATGTCCGTCCACCAGCCGTACACCATGTTCTGGCCCACAGATGATGCCCTGAACTCACTGTCAGCTGAAAGACAGCACTGGCTCTCAAGCCCCGAACACCAAGACCAAGTGGCTGCCCTGGTGAAGGCTCACATCATCCGCAACTCCAGGGTAGGAAGAGGAAGAAGGTGGGAGGAGGAAGGCCTTTGCCTAAGATTTAGGAGTGTAGTTGCCTTTGTCTAGACCTTTAAATCTATCCATTTCATTGAGTTGACTGGAAACATATTTAACAATTCAGTCTAACATAAGGCAAAGAGTGGAGGGAAGCAACTACAAAAAAAATCCATGTATGTTTTTATTGCATACAGCTTTACAATGCTATTAGTCCCGCCCTGTGTCACTGATTGGCTGAGCGTTTGTCCCTCGGAGATGCTAATTGGCTATCTTGCTTTTAACAGAGAAATTGCTGTTCATGTTACATAGCTAGACAAATAGTCAACCTGATGGACTGAACGATTTCAAAGCTCTGGACCCAGACAAGGATGGCCTACCAGATTAGGTTAATAATTAAAAAGTCAAAAAATCCATGATGGAACCGAATGTTTAACAAAAACAAATAGTTTTGTGCTCTAACCAAAAATTGTTATATTAGGATTTTTTTAATTATTTAATTATTTTCAGAATAAATCATTTAGTCGATAAGATGTCAGGCATCATTAGAAATCACATATGTAGCGCATTCCAACTGCGTAGTACACTGATTTTGTGTACGTAAAAGATGTCAGTATGTACAGTAGATTAGATAGAATTCCTGAGCTTTTTGGCAGCAACGTGCCAGTCACAAGGTAGCTACGCCCTGAGGCATATGCTAGTTTATCTTCTAGTCTAAATGGGACCATAACTTACAAAATAAACATCACGCTGAAGAAAATGTAAAACAAACTATTTAGATCATAAACTCATGTTAAAAATGAATGAGATATTAATTTGATAGAGAATAGGGTAATTTTTCTCATACACTTCTAGTGTAGTTGCCCCGTGCTGGATTTTGGAGATGATTGACATTTCAGGCATTGGCTTCAATTTCCAGACCAGGTAGTTGTAATCAGATATTTTTTCAAGATTCAAAGATTTATTTTCATATAATATACAAAACTACTGTGTAGTTATGCAATGAATGTAAAACTTAGGTCACAGGTTCCTCAACAGTGCAATAACAAGACATACATTTTCACAAAAATAAAAATAGTCCTAAAAATAAATAAAAATAGTGCAGCTTTAGAAGGTCAGGATCCTCTCTATGGTGCACCTGTAGAAGGTCAGGATGCTCTCTATGGAGCACCTGTAGAAGGTCAGTATCTTCTCTGTGGTGCACCTGTGTGTGTAGTTTGAGGAATGGAACCAGTTTGGTCGACTTCCTGACCTGGTTCNCGACGCAGCGTCATTCAAAATAAGCACCTCTTCTCGCTTCGCCTTAGCAAGAAGGGCCGTCTGGTGAGACATCTCACTTCATGTTACTAGAGTAACATGAAGTGAGATGTCTCACCAGACGGCCCTTCTTGCTAAGGCGAAGCGAGAAGAGGTGCTTATTTTGAATGACGCTGCGTCG